CCAATGATAACCAACTTGGTCATTGGTTAACCTTCCAGGCCAGGTCAATTACCCAGAAGTCGGGAAAATAGGGGGTTATTTGAAGTTCGTAAAGCGAGTTTATTATTTTTTGGCTGTTGCTGATCGCGAATGTCATGTTAGTTTTGCTCACAGATGTCTTCGTACATTTAGGCCAGGTCAGGTCAGGTCAGGTCAACCAGTAGGTGTCCTGCCGGCTATCCATAGGGAGTGTCAAGTGTCAGCTACCACTGACGGTGTCGTAACATGTTACGAAGGCACTAAAACTACTTCATAAATGATCAAATGCATGTTAAATTCGAAATCGGCCCGAAAAAAACTACCCTAGAAACATGTAAAACTCCAAAAAGTGAACCGAGGTCACCAAGGTCAATGACCTGACCTGACCTTCAGGTGACCTTGACAGTTGACAGTTGACACCCAAAATACTGCGTGGGACCAACATCATTTACATGTTTGGACGTTACAATCACAAAAAGACTGGAAATGCGCGGATAATGTGAGCCGACTACGCCAAATCGCGATTCCGGCCAAGCATGGTCTCGAGAATAAGGTCACAAGTCAAAAACCATTTGAGTCAGAGTCATGAAATCTTTAGAACATGTGTAAAATTGATAAACTCGAGAGGTACTGAAAGTTTCGTCGTGATCGGCCGCTTTTTGCGCGAGTTATGTGCGAAAAGCCGAGGTGGTCCGTTCGCCCGCCTATAAGTGCGAGGGTTAATTTTGGCTTTTGATGCCGAATTCTGTTTTATGTCGCTTAGAATACAGTCCGAATTAGATTCGCTTCACTTCACTTCATTAATATTTTGTTGACTACCAGTCAACAAAAGCTCAGAAGTATATGTATTCTTTCATTTCAATCCATTATTTCTGTCAGAGGCATATCAACCTTGACCCGCAACTGACAATGTGTTTTAATTACAAGAAAATACACTTGTAATTCCAAAATATATTGCCAGTTTTGATACCGTTGGCTTGAGGACACGTGACTAGCCAAGTTCAGAATGTTCTAAGTAAAACTAAGTATCATAAAGCGAAAAAATGATGCTGCTAAAATCAAGCCATTTTGATAGCGCTGTGTTGGACATGATTGCGTTTTCATGAATGTGAGGTCTGCTGCCAAACTACTATCATTTTTCTAATGGTTTCTTTCAGGATGTGTTCTCTCATCCTTTTTTTAAACACTGGCATTTTATCAACTCACCTCTGAGCTTCTTTAGCCGAGAAATTTTGAAAAATCCAAAATCATATCAACTCACCCCCTGTGGGGTGGTGAGTTGATATGAACTTTGGCGTTTTAAAAAAGGGGCTTAATATATACATTTTTTATTCATTTTTGCTGATTGCCTCCCCAAGGCATGTGCCATGAAACTGGCACAAAAAGAATTCCGTAAATGAATGTGGCTTTTAACGAAATCTAGAATAACCTCAAAATCCATATCAACTCACCCCGGTTTACGGTACCTACACTTACACTACCTGCATTTGAGGAACGTATGTACCAGAGCGAATTATCATCTCAAACCAGAAGGAAAAGCTGACAGGGGCGTTAATGAGGCATTTGATTATGCCGATAAGATTAAAATTCAGTGATCATATCAGGTGTTTTTCTCGATGGGGTGTATGATTGACGTAGAAATATGACGGTGGATGTAGATAGGGTGACAGGGGAAGATAAAGGCACATGCGACAATATCTTCCATCATGATTCTAAGCCGAAGCTGGAAGAGCAGCGACTATGTAGTTCCGACTCATAAACTGTATGATAGGGAAGGGAAAGCCGGCGGATGAGCGGCACAGGACATTACGACGTGAGAGTTCCGCGTGATGCGGCGTGTAACACCCGACAAACTCACTCAGCGGCAACGTGCTGGAAATACCTGCACAGCTTGCACTTTCCTGGCCACAGGAAACCCAGTGTGAAGCGTCCCAAAGCGTTGATCGCGATGAAAGGAATGCTCGGTGAGTCTCGAACCCCAGGGTAGTGTGTTTGTGACACTGGATGACAGGCACTGGCCTATCCATCATATCTGATGACCCTCTTCACCGAATCGGAGCCAGTGTTTACCTGACCGCAGGAGAAGATGGAGCCATCAGCGACAAAATCAGCCCGGCCGCCTGCCCCAGTCCCCGCTGCCCCACCTCTCCCGCCCTCAGTCCGGTGCGGTGTCCCCTTCCCTGCTCTGCCCCGTCAACATACCCATTACGGGCTGGTAACAAATGGATCGCCTTTCACTCTCACTCTCCGTGTCCGGCGCTAACGGGTCCAGTAAACACCACCACACCTGGGGGCCTCTCGCGGGCAATTAACACGCCCCCGACTCCTACTCGCCCTGTTCAGGGACACGGCCGGACAGACTCTCCCGCCTGTGCCGCGCGGTCTACTTTGAACCGCTCGAGACGGAGGTGGGAGGGTCTGGAGCCCGGGGGCACAATCGACGGTCGCACCGATCAGAATCGTGAAGTCAGTGGCCTCCCGCATGGAATGTGTGTCCGGTCAATTTGGGAATAACACGGCGACGGATGAAAAGCGACAACGGTGCTGAGCAATGCTATTACTTTTGGCACGGCTGACCGGCTCGGCCGTGGGCCAGTCCACGACACAGTAGAGCCAGGCCACGCCGGTCGATCGACCAAAATCAGCGGATAACGAGCTAACGGAGGGAAAGGAGAGACGTGGGGGAGCTGCACAGCTTCTGTGAAAGCTGCACAATTTTGGACAAAGGCGACATCAATTGGAAATGGACTTATAATGGGCATGGTATGGCATGGCATAGCCAATAGGCAAGAAAATAGCATTGACTGACTCACCTAAATTAAAAGATGTGCCTAAATGAGCTATGAACGTAAAACTGTGTATCTACCTTCTGTGAATAATTATCTTACTGTAAATAAAATAAACACCAAATCGTAGGATGCTTAGGAGTTCAAGTGGGCCTATATTTTCAGTCATTTCTGATCAGTTGGATGAAGAGACTCGCACGGATTCGATTGCTGATTAGAAAACGTTCCCCAGAAAAATGAATAAAATCGACGCATTTCGCATTAGGAATGCGAGTAATGCGAGTGCCGTTTAGTAATTTAGAAAATCGCCCGGAGAAAGCTGAATGCATAGTCACATAGGCATCTGTTTGGATGATAACAAAGATGGCTGTCTGGTGTCACTTCACAAATACATAGATGCCTGTCAATGAACAATGGCCCTATCTTATCAGCAACCAGTCAGTAAATATGACCAATGCGATTTATCTTAGTCAATAAGTTTTAGCTATCGACACAGGTGAAAGTGTTTTTATTTTCATCAAGTTTCACTTCGCCATGAATACAAAATGACAAAATATTATATTTATTTCACTCATGAAATTTCTTTGACCAAAAGGTTCGGCGGTGTCTAGGTAGTTCGTTTCCTTGCGGTTTTTCCTCTTGCATGCGAACAAAAACTACACCGTAAAATGTGTGTTATTTACCGACTTATTGTATTGCGATTTTTCGCTTGTAATTAGCTTTTTGGTACGTTTAGTTGCCTATCTTTTATAAGTTTTCCCACATGTGTAATAACTAGTGATTGACGTTATTTTGCCATATTCGCACAATTTTGACACTCAACTCAGCTAGCCTGTCCCGTAGCTCAGTTGAGCGCTGGACTCCCGTTGGTGAGAGCCCGGGTTCGAGTCGATCCGGTGCTCGATATTTGAGACTCCTGACGGTTGGTTGGTGGGAGCAGCCGCAGCCAGTTGAAGTCAGTTGAGTGGGACAGACCGTGTCAACGGTTTTGAATGGCACGTTAAACTTTGCCATCAGTAAATTCTCCCGTTGCCCGGAATTGCGCTATCGGACGGTAGGGGTCGGGGTGTACGCAACAAGCTCTGCTTAGCGTAGTGGCTCTGTCAATTCGTCCATTCAAACGTTCAAGCTGAATTGATAAAAAGCTTCGATCCATATTTGCTGCACAATGAATATTCTATACATGTTTGCGTTCTTTGATGACAGCACCTACCTAAGCAAAGGGAAGTCGGATCTCTCTATCTTCAAACGTCCCAGGTGTTAGTGGCCTATGCTGCGCTCAGATTTAGTGCTACCCATTTTTCAGCGTTGCAGTCTCTCGGTGGATGCTTTTGCTTTTAGAGTTCGTATGCTTTTGGAAGAATGCACTGTGTTTTGCTGTCTGCACTGTCGATATGCTGATTGACGGTATTACACTGAGATTGCGCAACGCTGCTTTACGTGACTTTATCATGTTCTACATAATGTAACAGGACATGGTACAGACAATCACAAGAGCAGATTTGGCAACTAATTATTAGTTTACTGCTTGGCTAAGTTCGTTGTTGTTTGCACCGTCGCCGTCCGAGTGCCCGCTGGCAGGTTGATGAGACTGATAACAAGAACAGTGCCGTGACATAACCTGATTAACGTAAACGTGCAAACTAGACACAAACCCAACCATGCAGCGTCACACGTTTAGAGGCACATATGACCTTGTCTTGCACATAGGTACAAGGGGTACAAGTTAGGTGTGGGTGCTTTCCCATTATCTTGTGCTCAAAACAATCAAAGCATGTGCTATGTAGATTATCCTTTCATCCAGCGTTTGCACGGCTTGATGACTGAGGTATGTTTTTAATGCTTGTTTAGAGTAGGTACTTATTTCTCCACGACAAGCTCGGATAAAGTTATGGGAATTTGTTATGTAAATATACCCGCATTACTATCGTTAAATTATATATCTGAATATAATGTGTGAATATATGATGTTGTAAATCGATGAATAGGTACAGCGGTATGCTTGATATCCTTTTTTTGTGAACGATAAAGCTATGACAACGCAACGAGCAAATGCCTCCTTTATCTTCAGGATGCCCGATAATGCCATTGCCTACCGACAATGTTAATGATCTCACAGGAACTTATCGCAGACGTTTTGAATTTATGCTGTAGCAGCCCACGAGGAATATTACTTCACCGGGTCACACGCCTCACCTGGTTCCCTGTTCTACAACGGTCTCTTGTCCTCAGAACACACACTCGGCGACTCAGTCCGACGTCTCGTCCGTCCTTTGTACACCAGTCTCCCACGTGTGTGCCGGCTCTGCGCTCTGACTGGTCGGAGCCACCCACCTCACAGCACGCGCTGCACCGACTGACGCTGGCTGCCACCGCTCCCACCACCGCCGCCGCCGCCGCCGCGCCGCCAGCCCGCCGCAGTGGGTCAGGGGACCGAGCGGAAGCACCCTTCCGCCCAGCTGCCCGATCGGACGATCCCCTGCCGTTCCCCTTCGGTCACCAGCTGAGACTCTCCCTTTCTCCGGGAGTCATGGCTGAAGTGAATGAAGATGACCGGCCGCCTTTATGACCGGTAGGCTTGAACTGAAATTATTCCTACAAAACAGAGATAATTTATTTTTTACTCGTAGCCGAAATACGAGCTTCATTCGATAAGAGCCGTATTCGTTACGATTTTCGGCCGTTACGAACGTTATCCCGCAATACGATCGGCGAGTTTTGTTTTGTCCGGATCCTAAAAATAAGCATTGGCGCCCGAAGTCCCGTAGCTCAGTCGGTAGAGTGTTGGACTCCGCGTGGCGAGAGCACGCACGCATTCCCGGTTATAACAGTCCGGGTTCGAAGCGCGACGGGTGCTTGACGTTTATGAACCTCCTGACAGGTATGGTTGCGGTTGGTGGCAGGCCGTAGCCCGGCGAAGTCAGTGAGGGGACCGGCCGTGCGCGGCTATGTGCACACGTTCAACTTTGGACTCCAAATTCTGCCATATGAACCGGAATTGCGCGATCGGAGGGTAGAGGGAAGGGCCAACGCAACAAGCTTCGCTTAGCGGTATCCCTGTCGTTGTGAATCCTTCCAAGCAATAGGTTCGGACTAAATTTATAAAAAAAGTTAAAGCATTTAGGGACAAATTCGGAGTTGAAGGGCAAGGAACGCAGACTTTTCGAAAAACCGGAATATATATGATAGAACACATGCTTATGACTTACCTACTCTAGCAAGTTTTAGCCAGATATCTTCAAAAATAGCCAAGTTTTACGCTAGCAAAAATTTCACAATTTTAAATTTTTAAAGTCAATTTTCAGTACGAATTTGACATCGTACACCAATATGAATAGCACCATCGTGTTTCTGAGCTAAAACTGCATCCGATAGACATGTTTTTGTTGAACAATTTCAACTTTAAAATTTGACCTTTTTTACATGGAAGTGGCCTGAACCTCTTCGCCTGAGCCCTGACCTAAGCTAAATTCAAAATGACCTTAAATGACATAAACGACATCAATTCGAAATCTATGGCCTAAATGGACCATAAAACATGTGGCACGTGACCGACTTATGATATAAGATTTCCATGACCTGTGATGACCTGACGGCTGACCCTGACCAGTGACCTGAAAATCAAACTTCAAAGTACAAGTTTGGTACATCTAAAGCATCTGTTCACGAGTGAGTAAACCAAAAATCAGCCTGATCTGACTTGTAAGACGGCAGCCAGAGCCCAAAATGTGAACAAGCCAAACATCGATAGTTCTTACTTTGACTTGACCTGTGACATCATCGGTGACCTCGAGGTCAATGAAATTAGGTTTCGCTCGACAGTTTTTCCGGGGCTATCAGATACCGTTTGAATATCGACGATCGGCCCAGTAGTTTCGGAGTTAGGAGGGGTGCTATGAATAGCCCCCCCCCCCACACACACACACCCAGTAGGGCTAAGCAAATACACGGTTAACCCGCGCCCCACTGGGGGGGGGGGCTATTTATAGCCCCCCTCCCGTTTTTCTGCAATAACTTCCAAACCGCTTGACGTATCGACGCCAAACTTTCAACACCTTCGGCTGCATCAATTTGACACCTTGTGTCAAAATTTGAACTTCGTACGTACCATAGGTCGGCCGGAAATGACGTCAGAGTGACGTCATGTTCGGCCGATTTCGACGCAAAACATTGAACCACGGCAATCGCTCCCAAGAGCTCAGTTTTTAAGCTAGATCCAATTTCTTTGCATGAGCTGACTCAGAATAGACTGCGCTATCAAACTGCTATCTCGGATTTTCGAAATTTTGAAAATTTCGAAAATTTTATATAATAAAATTCAAAATTTATATTTTTACATTTTTTTCAAAAACTTTTTGACTTTTCGAAAAAACCAGAATATATGTGATAGAACGCATTATTATGACTAACTCTACCAAGTTTTAGCTAAATATCTTCAAAAATGGCCAAGTTATACGCATTATTGCAAAAAATTAACAATTATTAGTTTTTCAAATCAATTTTTATCACGAATTTGACATCGTACGCCAATATAAATAGCACCATCGTGTTCCTGAGCTCAAACTGCATCCAATAGACACATTTTTTGTTGAAAAATTATAACTTCAAAATTTGACCTTTTTTGACCTGAAAGTGACCTGACCTAAATTAAAAAAAAAAATTTGACTCAATTTTTGCTATTGCTAAATTTGCTAAATTTGCTAAATTTGACTCAAAATGACCTGGAATGACACAGACGACATCAAATTCGAAATCTTTGGCCTAAATGGACCATAAAACATGTGTCACGTGACCGACGGATGATATAATATTTTCGTGACCTGTGATGACCTGACCTTGACCTGAAAATCAAAGTACAAGTTTGGTACCCTAAGAGTATCTAGAGCATCTGTTCACGAGTGTGTGAACCAAAAATGAGCCTGATCTGACTTGTAAGACGGCGGCCAGAGCCCAAAAAGTGAAGAAGCCAAAATGCTAATAATTTTTACTTTGACCTGACCTGTGACGTCATCGGTGACCTCGAGGTCAATGACTTTAGGTTTCGCTCGACAGTTTTTCCGGGGCTATCAGACGCCGTTTGAATTTTGACGATCGGCCCAGTAGTTTCGGAGTTAGGAGGGGGGGCTATGAATAGCCCCCCCCCCCCCCAGTAGGGCGTGTTATACGCAGACCCCAGTGGGGCGCGGGTTAAAATTGTAAAATGACCGTAAGGGGGTCAAAAAAGAAATGTAGCGAGGGCACCGTGAGAACATTAAAAGGGCGCCATTTTCCTAGAAGGGCGCCGAGTGAAAGGAAACGCTAAATGGTTCAGGCCGGCACTGGGAAGCCAGTAGGGTGCCAACTGCCAAACGGTCAGCCAGCGCTAAGTTGGTGGGGACGTAGGGGCGTCAGAGGTTATGAAGGCGCCATGAGACCATTATTATTATTTTATTATTACCTCGTGTATTTCCTCTATGAAACGTGTATTTCCTTCCGACCATGAAAAGGGCGCCATTCTCCTAGAAGGGTGCCGAGTGATTGAAAACGTTATATGGTCCAGGGGCGCGGAGAGGTCAGAAGAGCGCCGAACAGTCAGTAGCAAGGCCATATAACCGTCAGTAGCGCTAAGTTGGTGGAGACGTAGGGGCGCCGGATGGTTACGAGGGTGTCGGGTGACGTGAGACCGTGAAAAGGGCGCCATTCTCCCAGGGGCGTCGACACCGGTCCGACTTTTCCGACTAGTCGGACCACTTTTTCGACTAGGCGGTGCCCTGCTGTGGCTCGCGGGGGCCCCTGCTGCAGACCGCGGGGGCCCTACTGCGGCTCGGGGGCCCTGCTAGAGACCGCGGGGGCCCTGCTGCGCCTCTGAGGCCCTGCTAGACACCGCGGGGCCCTGCTGCGGCCCGCGGGGTCCCCTTCTGCGGCCGCGGGGGGCCCCTGTTGGGGCTCTCGGGGGCCCTGCTGCGGCAACGGGGGCCCCTGCTGCGGCAACGGGGGCCCCGCTGCGGCTCGCGGTGGCCCTGCTGCGGCCACGGGGGCCCCTGCCAGGGGACCCTGCTGCGGCCACGGGGGCCCCTGGGGGCCTCCACCGGTGGGGCCCCCCGAGAAAAAGTCGGACCAGTTTTCCTTACGCGTCGACGCCCCTGCATTCTTCTATAAAGGCGCTGAGTGATTAAAAACGATATATTATTCAGGAACGCGAGACGGTCGGGAGGACGCCGTTAGAGCGTGCGAAGGGAGGAGTGCTCTTGAAAGGAAACTTGACTTGGTCACTTGTGGGTGTATTTTTATTATTGTGGGGGCATAATTCCATAATTTAGGATTGTGGACGCATCTGCTTGCTGATTCTGCTCCCACAAAGGGATATAAAAATCCCTGCGGATCTAATATGTTCGAGAGGTCTCATGCCTCGTGGCTCGTATATCCAGGTCGGATGGGTCAAACACGCCAATTAAACGCTCGATATTGCAACTACGACTCAAGGCCATATCAAGGCGGCCATATATGCAACCAAGGCTATGTAAACCAAGACACCTATAAGAAACCAAGAAACATGTACCTAAACCAGGTAGAAGTTAGAACCTTAGAACCTTAGAACGCCGCGCTCCCAACGAAAAAATGGGCAAACAAATGAATTTAGTAGCCGCGACTCTGAGGGCCAAACAAACTCGGGTTGCCGTGGACGTGGTAACGGGACAAATTTGGCATGAGGGCGCATCTAATAACTTATTTTTGTGCGAATTGTTTCAGAAAGAAGCTAAAAGACTTGTAACTACCAAGACAATAGGTAACTACTCTTACAAGCTTGCAACTACTCGTTCCTGTATGCGCATTTGAACTGCGCATGCTTGCGTGAAGTGCATTTGAACACAATAACAAGCCACGTTTGCCTCAATCATATATTTGTTATTGAAAGTGTGCGCCACTTTTAGTTGCTTTTAGGCGGCTCTCTGTGGTGTGTGCATATTTACGTCTGGACAACGAGTTGCGGGGAAAAGTGCTGATTGTATTGCAGTTTTAGGAGTCGGTGATTAGGCTGGATTTTTGGGTTACTTTTTCGTTCCGATTCATGTATTTCATAGTGTTTGGCTTTTGAATATTTTAGTTCTTTCAGATAAATATTACTTGCCTTACAACTTTTGTAAAAACGTTTCATTTTTTATAAGCCGACGTTCAGAGTCCTAAAAATACATCAGCACTACAATCATTGTAAACAAACAAATGGAGCACCACTTGGCTCTGTTCCAAGGCCATTTTTTAGTTTATCTGTTGGTTTTCTTGCTCTTGTACGTCGTTTTGTTGGACGTTTTGAATCCCTGAAGATTGACTTATATCATATTTAAGAAGCATGTTGACTGAAAACAAATCAAAATTGTGTTTCTTTAATGTAAAAAACTGAAGT